CACCATGATTGTATATTTGTTTATATTATGCCAGTACTGATTATAGATTCCTGGAAGATGTGGCTTTAGTTGAAGCTTTTAGTTGAGCTAAAATACAAATGTAGCTAAAATAAAAACTGATGAAAAGTATGCTATATAGGCATTAAGTTAAACATTTTTGTTGTTTTCCGACTTAAAACTTAAGAAATTTTACTGTGCATATCTGTCCAGTTTTCCCCCTGCAGAGATTTAAATTTGACTTTCTATATTTTTTGTAATGGAAAACAAGTATTCTTTTCTCATGGAAAGTTGGACACTTAACCTTTTCTGAAAAGGTCAAAGCTTAACTTTGACAAAGTGACAACATCTGTATTGATATTTAGAACAAAAGCAGATTGTCATTTGATTACAATGATATAATAATTACAAAATGCATGGTGTTGTAGAAGGGACTGGGAGTGTCTGTGCATGAAATAGAAGGAGTGTACTCAAGAGAAAGCCTCCATTTATTCTGATATATTAATGTCGGCTTTTTTTAGCATTAATGAAATGCATTAGTTCCGAAATAGCCGTCTCGGCTATATATATGCAAATGGTGTTGTTTCCTTTTAATACGGGGATTATTCTTTCATTCTATGAATCTATCTGAATCATTGATTGTTTTAGGAAAACAGTCTTAGTTTATCATTTCAAGTTCTGGAATTTTTGTTGGTTATATGGCATGATATTTCATGTTTGAAATTTTTATGTTGGTTATGTGGCATAATGAGCTTTCATGTTCCAGTAATTTATCTTGGTTATATGGCATGAACTTTCATGTTCTTGAATTTTTGTTGACTATATGACATAAACCTCTAGAATTATTATTGGTTATATGGCATGGATCTTCTTATTCTAGAATTATTGTTGGTTATATGGCATGGATATTCATGTTCTAGATTTTTTGTTGATTATATGGCATAAAATTTCATGTTCTGGAATTTATATTTTAAATTTATAAAAATATCACTATATATGTACATATTTTTGATTTATCACTTGAAATAATTATGCATAAAATTTGAAGCATAAAATGTGTTTAATTCTAACTTGAAACAGAAATGATATTATGAAATATGAAGTTATGCATGTTTATGTATTTAAACTATGTACATTATACTGTATATGTATATTATTCAAGATTCTATTGTCATTTTGCTTGAATGCTGTCTATTATTAACAGAGATTTAGACATTAAGATAGAGGGTACTTCAACAGATTGTCCCTGTCATCTGCTATTGTCGTCTTGCTATTGTCTCGTCTGCTTTTGTCAACAGATATTCAATTATAGATATTAGATATTAGGCAATGTTTTGTTTGTCTGGAATAATATTTATTCTGCTGATGGAAGGACAATGAATAATGGCATGCAAGAAATGTTAATTTGGATTGGTTCGGTCAATAGAAAGTCACTTGCCCGTACGAAGCTGGCTTTTAGGAGATAATGTAGCCGGAAGTAATGAACATATAGAAAACAACTTTATAAAAGTATATATGTTTACGAAAGATATGAATATTCATAAAATCCTGCATATAGCCATTAATGAGAATTTTAAAGTGTCGCCTCTTTTGGGGCACGAAAAATTTATAACGCTGTGGAAAGCTTATATTTTAGGTGTTTTGGCCATCAATTAAGTGTTAAATATGTTTATTTGGCACATTGTAATATGTGAAATATAATTATTTTTGAAAAGTGGTGCAAACCCCTTCTGAATGCTAAAACCAAAAGTGCTGCTTGTTATAATAGAGGCAGGCAAACTTGTGCATTTCACCATCTTCAAATTTTAATCTTGATTATCCCCCTTGTTTTTTGAGAACAAACAGATAACACCCAAAAAGGGCTTAAGCCCAGTTGTGATGTACAGACGCTTTGTGATAACGTTTGAATAGGCAAATTGTGCTGTTGCCTTTTTCACTGATAATAAATGTATTGAGCTTTGGGAAAGTATGAGAAATTAAAGTTAGCTACCTCACTATACTCAAAAGGCTTGACAATCAAAGCAATACCCTGTTGGTCCAGTATATTGAATGTTTGTCCTACATTTATAGCATGAATTTATGTTCCTGTAGATGTATACACTAAAGTAAAATGAATGGATTTCCATGTTGATAAATGAGTATTTTATACATAAAGAAAGGTCTCACTTGATGTTTACGAGCCAATGTCCTGAGTACTGCCAAAGTTTACGACCTTTGTGGGAAAGAGAGAGGCATTGTGGGCAGAGAAGTTGAAAAATGTTGTGTCAGGCTAAATTGCTACTTAAACATTGTTGTTTAAATGCTTTAATTGCTACATATCGGACTATTCGACCATAAATCTACTGAAACTTTACTTATACACCTACTCCTTGTAAGAAAGATGTTTGTTGAATGTAAGCTTTTAATGACATAGAGCTTTATTTCCTTCTTAAGAAGTATCAGATTTGGTCCTGTCTGTCTATTTTTGTAACCAAGAAGTTTCAGATTTAAGTTTTGTCTGTCCAAATTGTAGCAAATGCGATCAGTCTCTAATGCCTTGAAGTCAGTATCTCGTTTAAGCCAATATCTTGTAGGAAATTCATACATATTGATAGTATTAACAAGATTTGAGGTTTTATTGATGTACTCCACAAAAGTAATGAAATGAACTTGTTCTCCTTTGAATTTTGACCAGTCCATTATTATACCCCCAAAAACGAAGTTTGGGGGGGTATATAGGAGTCACTCGGTGGTCGGTCGGTCGGTCGGGCGGTCGGTCGGTCGGTCGGTCCAGACTTCCGTTGCATTTTCCTTGTCCGGAGCATAACTTGAAAACTAATAGTTGGAATTCAATATAACTACATACAATGGTCAAGCACATTGAGAGGAAGTGCAGTGCACAAGAACCATAACTCTATCTTGACTAATTACAGAATTATTGCCCTTTGTTACTTTTCCTTGTCCGGGGCATAACTTGAAAACTACTGGTTGGAATTCAAAACAACTTCATACAATTGTCAAACACAATAAGGGGAAGTGCAGTGCACAAGAACCATAACTCTATCTAAAGTAATTACAGAGTTATTGCCCTTTGTTGCTTTTCCATTGCTTTTTTTTGTCCGTTGCATTTTCCTTGTCCGGAGCATAACTTGTAGACTAATTGTTGGAATTCAATATAACAACATACAATGGTCAAGCACATTGAGAGGAAGTGCAGTGCGTAAGAAACATAACTCTATCTTGACTAATTACAGAGTTATTGCCCTTTGTTACTTTTCCTTGTCCGTGGCATAACTTGAAAACTACTGGGTGGAATTCAAAACAAGTTCATACAATTGTCAAACACAATAAGCGGAAGTGCAGTGCACAAGAACCATAACTATATCATAAGTAATTACAGAGTTATTGCCCTTTGTTGCTTTTCCATTGCCTTCTTTTTTTGTCCGGACCATAACTTGAAGACTAATGGTTGGAATTCAATATAACTACATACAATGGTCAAGCACATTGAGAGGAAGTGCAGTGCATAAGAACCATAACTCTATCTAAAGTAATTACAGAGTTATTGCCCTTTATTACTTTTCCATTGCTTTCTTTTGTCCGGACCATAACTTGAAGACTAATTGTTGCAATTCATTATAACTTCATACAATGGTCCAGCACATTGAGAGGAAGTGCAGTGCACAAGAACCATAACTCCATCTTGATTTATTACAGAGTTACTGCCCTTTGTTTCTTTTCCTTGTCCAGAGCATAACTTTAAAACTACTGGTTGGAATTCAAAACAACTTCATACAATGGTCAAGCACAATAAGGGGAAGTGCAGTGCACAAGAACCATAACTCCATCTTGACTAATTACAGAGTTATTGCCCTTTGTTTCTTTTCCATTGCTTTCTTTTGTCCGGACCATAACTTGAAGACTTATTGTTGGAATTCATTATAACTTCATACAATGGTCAAGCACATTGAGAGGAAGTGCTGTGCACAAGAACCATAACTCCATCTTGACTAATTACAGAGTTATTGCCCTTTGTTTCTTTTCCATTGCTTTCTTTTGTCCGGACCATAACTTGAAGACTTATTGTTGGAATTCATTATAACTTCATACAATGGTCAAGCACATTGAGAGGAAGTGCTGTGCATATGAACCATAACTCCATCTTGACTTATTACAGAGTTACTGCCCTTTGTTACTTTTCCTTGTCCACAGCATGACTTGAAAACTACTGGTTGGAATTCAAAACAACTTCATACAATGGTCAAGCACAATAAGGGGAAGTGCAGTGCACAAGAACCATAACTCCATATTGACTAATTACAGAGTTATTGCCCTTTGTTACTTTTCCTTGTCCAGAGCATAACTTGAAAACTAATGTTTGGAATTCAGTACAACTTCATACAGTTGTCAAGGACATTAAAAGGAAATGCAGTGCACAAGAGCCATAACTCCATTTTGACAAAATACAGAGTTACTGCCCTTTGATACTTTTCCTTGTCCGGAGCATAACTTAAAACGTACTGGTTGAAATTCAAAACAACTTCATACAATGGTCAAGCACAATAAGAGGAAGTGCAGTGCACAAGAACTATAACTCTATCTTCAGTATTTATAGAGTTATTGCCCTTTGTTCTTTTTCTTTGTCTTTCTGGACTTATTACATAGTAATTCAATTAAACTTCATCAATGGCCAACCACATTCAAAGGAAATGCAACATATATGAACAACAATTATCTTTAATTGCCCACAACCATTACTCTATGTTTCAATTCTTTTACAAGGTATTCTGTTACTAGTAACATCCTCATTTCCGAAGCAGACTTGTGGGGGTATTAATCACATTTAGTGATAGTTCTAGTTAATTTTAGGGATTGTACAGAATCTACAAAGAGTCGCACTGAAGCCGTGATTGAAGTTCTTTATTTTATGGCAATAGACCTGACAAAGGGTTATACAAGTGAACGAAATCATTTAAGATGTCATATGAGTGAATAATAAATATTTAATGTTTGTGTTATTTCAGGTTGGTGTTGCAATTATCGTGTGGGCAGGTTGCGGGTTGTTGTCACTTATTGGTGCACTGTGTTACGCGGAGCTTGGAACCACAATCACAAGGTCAGGAGGGGATTATGCCTACATTCTTGAAGCCTTTGGACCATGCTTGGCTTTCCTGCAGCTATGGGTAAGTTTGAAATTACCTCAATGGTATTTGTAAGTGACGATCCAGTTGGATCAATCCTCAGGTGTCGGAGGCAAAATTTCTTCATGACAATTGATCTCAGACATTGAGTCAAAGTCATTTTCATGGATTGGTGACAAACAGACGTAACTCCTTCATTATATAATACGAGTTACAGCTGTTTTGCACCAATCCCTCAATTTGTCTCTCACTGCTTATCTGCCGGACACTTGCTAATAAGTTGGTAATGTTATTTGTTGGTTATCCAGGAAAACAAGTCAGGTGGATGGACTACCAAAATATTACTTAAAAAGTATAAACATTCAGCTGTCTGATTTGGTATTGAAAACAATTTTTATACCCCCGCACAACAAAGTTGTAAGGGGGGTATACTGGAATCAGATTGTCCGTCCGGCCGTCTGGCCGTCCGGCGTCCGTCGGTTTTTTCTTGTCCGCCCAATAACTTAAGATTCCTTTGACCCACAGTCTTCATATTTGGCATGGAGGTTAGTCATGATAAGTAGATGACCCCTATCGATTTTGAGGTCACCAGGTCAAAGGTCAAGGTCACAGGGGCCTTGACTTCAAAAAGCTTGTCCGCCCAATAACTTAAGATTCCTTTGACCCACAGTCTTCATATTTGGCATGGAGGTTAGTCATGATAAGTAGATGACCCCTATTGATTTTGAGGTCACCAGGTCAAAGGTCAAGGTCACAGGGGCCTTGACTTCAAAAAGCTTGTCCGCCCAATAACTTAAGATTCCTTTGACCCACAGTCTTCATATTTGGCATGGAGGTTAGTCATGATAAGTAGATGACCCCTATCGATTTTGAGGTCACCAGGTCAAAGGTCAAGGTCACAGGGGCCTTGACTTCAAAAAGCTTGTCCGCCCAATAACTTAAGATTCCTTTGACCCACAGTCTTCATATTTGGCATGGAGGTTAGTCATGATAAGTAGATGACCCCTATCGATTTTGAGGTCAAAGGTCAAGGTCACAGGGGCCTTGACTTCAAAAAGCTTGTCCGCCCAATAACTTAAGATTCCTTTGACCCACAGTCTTCATATTTGGCATGGAGGTTAGTCGTGATTAGTAGATGACCCCTATTGATTTTGAAGTCAAAGGTCAATGTCACAGGGGCCTTGACTTCAAAAAGCTTGTCCGCCCAAAAACTTAAGGTTCCTATGACCCACAGTCTTCATATTTGGCATGGAGGTTAGTCATGATTAGTAAATGATCCGTATTGATTTTGAGGTCACTGGGTCAAAGGTCAAGGTCACAGGGACCTTGTCAAAATAAAGCTTTTCCCCAATGCCTGTCCAGAGTGTATTGATTTTGACATTTGAAGCATGTAGAATACATAACTTAGCAATGCATTGGCTTAGTCACCTCAGATTTGGCAGGGTGGTTGTCCTTGAGTTCTAAATGGCCACTGTTGATTCAGACAAAGTGGTATGCGGGGGTATTCACGCCATGATAGTGGCAGTTCTAGTTATAACTGCAAAACATGAATGTCTTGTATGCCCTAGTCGAAAAACAATATGACCTTGTGAATTTTAATTTTAAAATCTTTGTGCGCTTTAAATAATGTTAGCAGATGGATGTATAACAGCTGTGGATGATACTTAAATGTTATTTTTAGTTTATAGTAGAGTATTCAAATAAAAAAGTTCAGCTCACTTACTATTGCATCACTTGTTTATGTTATGGATGATACTACATTTTATCAACCACTGAAGTTATTTGGGTTCGTGCACACATGGCATAAAGATTGAAACTCGGCAAATGTGGATTTTTCCGGTCTAGGTTATGGCGTACAAACAAACTTTTACTAGATATATTGATACATGTAATTACTGCAACACATTGACCATGCTATTGATAATAGCAGTGCACTGTGAAGTTATAACAGTAATAGTATTTATGTAGCCCAAGATTAGATATGGAAAACTTGTATTTGCTGGCTTCCGGTTAACACCTATTGTATGCAGCCACGATTTCCTGTTCTGTCCAAGACCCATAACTCTAGCATGTACTTTTTCTAAATTATACCCCTTTGGTTAAGAACTAGCATGAAAAATTCATCATTATACAAGCTAAAGGTATTCACTTGAAATATAAACATTAATGTCTTTTGGACTGTAACTGTAAACCACAGACCAAGACCCCTTAACTCTAGCATAAATGTTTACTGAATTATTTTCCCTATCTGGATTTTGTTTACCATCACATTTCAAGAAAAGTCAAGCATGCTGTTTTTGTGACATCTCTTCAGTTGATTTTGTTATCGTCTCTTAAAAATAAAATATTTTTACTGTGAAACAGTATTTATAAACTTGTAATCATTTAATTTCAATATATTATTACTAATAATACCCTGTTGAAACGAAAATCCCCATTATGTTAGTAATCATTATGACATGATTATTATGCCCCCTTTTGAAAAAAAGGGGGTATATTGCTTTGCACTTGTCGGTCCGTCGGTCCGTAGACCAAATGGTTTCCGAGTGATAACTAAAGAACCCTTAGGCCTAGGAACTTCAAACTTGGTATGGTGATTGGTCATGACAAGTAGATGACCCCTATTGATTTTGGGGTCAAGGGGTCAAAGGTCAAGGTCACATTGACCTTGTAAAGCAAAAACGGTTTCCGATCAATAACTAAAGAACCTTAAGGCCTAGGAACTTCAAAACTTGGTATGGTGATTGTCATGATCAGTAGATGACCCCTATTGATTTTGGGGTCAAGGGGTCAAAGGTCAAGGTCACATTGACCTTGTAAGCAAAAACGGTTTCCGATCAATAACTAAAGAACCTAAAGGCCTAGGAACTTCAAACTTGGTAATGGTGATTTTGTCATGATCAGTAGATGACCCCTATTGATTTTGGGTCAAGGGGTCAAAGGTCAAGGTCACATTGACCTTGTAAGCAAAAAACGGTTTCCGATCAATAAGTAAAGAACCTTAAGGCCTAGGAACTTCAAACTTGGTATGGTGATTGGTCATGATCAGTAGATGACCCCTAACAATTTTGGGGTCAAGGGGTCAAAGGTCAAGGTCACATTGACCTCTTGGGTAAAAAAAAACGGTTTCCGATCAATAACAAAAGAACCCTTAGGCCTAGGAACTTCAAACTTGGTATGGTGATTGGTTATGACCAGCAGATTGACCCCTATTTGATTTTGGGGTTTAGTGGTCAAAGGTCAAGGTCACATTGACCTTGTAGGTAAAAACGGTTTCCGATCAATAACGAAAGAACCCTGAGGGCCTAGGGACTTCAAAACTTGATATGGTGATTGGTCATGATCAGTAGAGATGACCCCTATTGATTTTGGAGTTAAGGGGTCAAGGTCAAGGTCTACATTGACCTTGTTAGGTAAAAACGGTTTTGCCGATCATAACGAAAGACCTTAGGCCTAGGGACTACAAACTTGATATGGTGATTGGTCATGATCAGTAGATGACCCCTATTGATTTTGGGGTCAAGGGGTAAAAGGTCAAGGTCACATTGACCTCCCTTAGGTAAAAACAGTTTCGGATCAATAATTAAAGAAACCCTTAGGCCTAGGAACTTCAAAACTTGGGGTATGGTGATTGGTCATGTAGATCAGTAGATGACCCCTATTGGAATTTTGGGGTCAAGGGGTCAAAGGTCAAGGTAACATTGACCTCTTAGGTAAAAAGCAGTTCCGCATCAATAACTAAAGGGGAAACCTTAGGCCGTAGGACTTCGAAACTTGGTGGATGGTATTGGGTCAGTGAGCAGCAGATGACCCCTACTGATTTTGGGGGTTAAGGGGTCAAAGGGAAAGGTCACATTGACCTTGTAGGTAAAAATTGCTTTCCGATCAATAACTTAAGAAACCTTAGGCCTAGGAACTTCAAACTTGGTATGGGGATTTGGTCATGACCAGCAGATGACCTATTGTTTTTAGGGTCAAGGGGTCAAAGGTCATGTAACATTGGACCTTGTAGGTAAAAAAAACGGTTGCCGATCAATTAACTAAAAACGGCTTAGGCCTAGGAACTTTTCAACTTTGTATGATGATTGGGGTGGTGACCATGCAGATGACCCCTATTGAGTTTTGGGGTCAAGGGGTTCAAAGGTCAAGGGTTCACATTGACCTTGTAAGGGGTAAAAACGGTTTCTGATCAATAACTTAAGAACCCTTAGGCCTAGGAACTTCAAACTTGGTATGGTGAATTTTTCAATGACCAGCAGATTTACCCTTTCGATTTTGGGATCAGGGGTCAAAGGTCAAGGTTCACATTGACCTTGTAAGTAAAAACGGTTTGATCAATAACTAAAGAAACACTTCGGCCTAGGAACTTCAAACTTGGCATAGGTGATTTGGTCCCCCATGGATCGAGCAGATGACCCCTATTGATTTTGGGGTCAAAAGGTCAAGGTCACATTGACCTTGTATGTTAAAACGGTTTCGGATCAATATAAAAGAACCTTAGGCCTAGGAAACTTCAAACTTGGCATGGTGATTAGTCATGACCAGCAAATGACCCCTATTGAATTTTGGGGTCAAGGGGTCAAAGGTCAAAGGTCACATTGACCTTGTAAGTAAAAACGGTTTCTGATCAAATTAAGTAAAAACGCTTAGGCCTAGGAACTTCAAACTTTGTATGATGATTTGTCTTGACCAGCAGATGACCCCTATTGGAGTTTTGGTCAAGGGGTCAAAGGTCAAGGTCATGACCAGTAGATACTTGATAACCCTTATTAATTGTTTGATCACAGGGTCAGAAGTCATGCATAATTACCTTATCACATGAATAATTGGCTGCTGATAGGGGGCATACATGTTTTACAAACATATCTTGTTTTAATCTAGCATTTGTGAAATTCTGAATTATAAATATTATGGTCATTTTAATTTCTTCGTTTACTTGGTCTCTTTGTATAGATATATATCAGTCAGAGATTAAGGAGATTAGTTTAATAAAGATCAAATATGTACCAATAACAATATTGTAAGAGATAAATGAAAGGTACTGTGGTTTAAGATTTATAGATCTGTTTAAACATTAAAAAAGAAATGAAAAGAATGAAAAACAACGACAAAAAAAATTAAATCAAAATAATTTGTGCTTCTTGATATGAAGCTTATTAGACCCTTACATATCCAATGCATTATTTTATATTTTATCTATTTTATGATGATGATGATAATGAGTTTAATAAGGATGATTATGATGAGTAGTATGATTAGTATAATGATGATGATGATGATGATAATGATTATGATAATGATTAGTACAATAAGGATTGCTATGGTAATAATGATGATTATGATGATAATAATGATGATGATGAGTTAACAATGTAATAAGGATGATTATGACGAGTAGCATAATTAGTATAATGATGATGATTATGAGAATAATGCTGATGAGTATTTGTGTATTTCAGGTGAATTTGATTATCATTCGGCCGACAGCTCAAGCTATTGTTGCTCTCACTTTTGCTTATTATGCTCTTCAACCATTCTTCCCTTCCTGCGATCCACCAGAGGCCGCCACAAGACTGTTAGCTGCACTATGTATCAGTAAGTACATGTATATCAGGCTTAAAATCAAAGTGATAATAAATCTCAGAGTTCGGTCAAACTTACTTAAACACAAGAAAGATGAATTGTGTAAATTGTATAAAGCTATATATGTTTCGAAATTATTATATGAATTTTGAAAAAAAAAAAATTCCCAGAATACCTGTATGAAAGAAATATGTTTATATATTTCACTAAGTGGAGATGATCCCAATCATGGGCGGAATCATTGCTAAACAGTTAAATTATCCTACTTAAAAGTAATAGCTTAAAAATTTGTTTACGAACAGTTTATTCTGTTTTATGCACAGGATGTTGAGGATTGCAGGGAAATGCATGAAGGCCGAATATCTGATCAAGAGCACTTTTTATAAATCATGATAATGCGAATAAATTTATTGAATCCGATTGGCTTAAACGATTTGTATACTTTGCTGTAAATACCGTGAAGAACCAAATTGCCCGCACAAATAACAATGTATTTCTATATTGTAGACAGTTAACTATCTGCGTGCATAACATTTTTATTGCATTTTGTTTTTATAGTATTTTTCATTATTTCTTTATTCAAATGTCATTACTTCAGAACTCTAATTAAAAGTTACTTGGCAATGATGACTTAACTGGAATTACTTTTTTTGTAATGCAACGTTAGGCATAGCCGCTGATTATGTGTGTCTTTTTACAATGCTTTTTTGCAAACAGTCAAAAGTTGCTGGGTTTCCTTATGAACAATAACAATTTGCTAGAGCCTCTGAGGTCATATTTATCTCATTCAGGCTATATTCTCCCATATATTGCGTCAGCAACGTGTATAAATGATACTATACCAATTTTCAAAATTTCAAGCTTTTGTATGTATCATTGTTTTTATTCTTTCATAAGTACATACAGATCATAACAATTACCAATAATCGTGGCACAGTGCCCTGGATTAAGGCAACTTGTTCAGTTTTGGCAGGGGATAAAGTTTGATGATTTTATCACAAGAAAATATACTAATCAGCATGTCTTTTCACAAAGGTTATTGTCGTTATAGTCCTAATTTATGACAATCTTGATTCCTCGTTAAATGTTGTTTTGTCATCTTTATACATTGTTGGCAATAGGGGAACGATGATAATCATTTTGGAAAAAAACATAAACATTTTTATTCATTGATGGAATATTTTGACAAGTGGGACTATTCAATCTTATCAAGTCTAAACTGTTTAACATAATTTAAATTTAGATTTGTACAGACTGGAAGGTGATATTTTGTTTGTTTGTCTGGTTTACTGTTTCAACTTCCTGTGTAGCAATATATGAAAAGGAAGTTATTCAGAGAAAGAGCACAGTCTACATTATAACACATGATCAATTTTTGAATAAGACTCATGAAAATTTTATGTTCCAACCTTCATTGCACATTATTGCATCATATGATAATGTCATAATTCATAAAGTGACACTTTCCATTTATAAAATAAAAACTATCCAATCAAAACGTTACCCAACCTGAATGCATTCTTCACAAGGCTTTGAATGAAATGAAATAATTGCAAGCATACAATGAGTGCATCAGAAAAACAAATTAGCATAGGTTTTCGATGGAAGTGTTGACAATTAAGCTCTAATTACTAAAAGCCGATCTTTTCACCTTTTCACAAAAGTATACAAGATTGTAAGTTAGGATGAATGGAAGCTGTGTGTCAATGTGAAACATGACAAAGGCATTAAGAGAATTGATTTTTCTGTTATCATTGAAAGTAAGAAACAGATTGATATATATATATACATGTATTATCAGTGGTATATGAATACAACATATGGCCTATGATCTTTAATTATGTGACAAAAGTATATATTTATACATGTAAGTAAAGAAGTGTTATGTGATCATCCAGTATGAAAGAAAGTACACTATATCAGGTATCCTTTTTAAAAAGAATTTAATGAGGGATTCACTAACACTTGTTCAGTAGTCTGACATCTTTTAATTCAGTCCCTGCATTGTCATTTCAACAATGATTATATATAGAGGATATTGAATGAGTGTAAGTTCCATACTGAATTTATTGCACAAGTTGAATAAAATTATATAATTATACAAGCCTCTGTCGAGCCTAATATTATTTTATTCAACAAGTTCAATAAATTCAGTATGGAACTTACAGAAATTTCATATTCTGTTGATCACATACCCAAAATAAGTACCGTTTAAAGTGAAACAAGAGTCATTTTTCACTGACGCGCCTGTAGTATAATGCTAACATTTAGCTTGTCTTTAAGATATATTTGTATAACATTAATGATGTCAAGTCAAAATATATGCACGGCCGTGCAGTACCATTATGGAGTCTCAAAGTCGGCACTGGTGTGTGATAAAAATGCATATCACACAATAAAAGTAAAAGAATAAATTAGCAGTGATGATAACATTTATATGCCATCAGTAATTTACTTCCTTGTGTTGGAGTCTTGCCACCAGTTCAGAGCCAAAGCCTGCCTGCATATCCTTGCAGTGTGACCAGGCTCTATACTGTTGAATGACAAATTTTACATCTCTTGAAATCCCCCAAATTGATTATGGACAGTTCTAAATATAAAAGCTGGACTGACTTGTCTGTATTCATGAAAATATAACCAGCATCTAGACTATTTAAGCAATACCATATTGATATATTTTTAAAATTTTAACAAATTTAACTGCATAATATGATGTCATTATTTTCATAAAGCCTACAGTATCAGTATACTGCATTTTTAGCTCGACTATTCGATAAGAATAAGTAGAGCTATTGCAGTCACCCGAGCGTCGGCGTAACCACTTATGTTAAAGTTTTTGTAATAGTTCAAATATTTTCAAAGTCCATTGACATATGGCTTTGAAACTTTGCACACTTGTTCACCATCATGACCCCAACCTGTAGACAGGAGGAGGTAACTCTATCAAGCATTTTGACAGAATTATGCCCCTTTTTAGCTCGACTATTCGATAAGAATAAGTAGAGCTATTGCAGTCACCCGAGCGTCGGCGTAACCACTTATGTTAAAGTTTTTGTAATAGTTCAAATATTTTCAAAGTCCATTGACATATGGCTTTGAAACTTTGCACACTTGTTCACCATCATGACCCCAACCTGTAGACAGGAGGAGGTAACTCTATCAAGCATTTTGACAGAATTATGCCCCTTTTTCGACTTAGAATTTACGTTAAAGTTTTTGTAATAGTTCAAATATTTTCAAAGTCCATTGACATATGGCTTTGAAACTTTGCACACTTGTTCACCATCATGACCCCAACCTGTAGACAGGAGGAGGTAACTCTATCAAGTATTTTGACAGAATTATGCCCCTTTTTCGACTTAGAATTTACGTTAAAGTTTTTGTAATAGTTCAAATATTTTCAAAGTCCATTGACATATGGCTTTGAAACTTTGCACACTTGTTTTACCATCATGACCCCAACCTGTAGACAGGAGGAGGTAACTCTATCAAGCATTTTGACAGAATTATGCCCCTTTTTCGACTTAGAATTTACGTTAAAAGTTTTTGTAATAGTTCAAATATTTTCAAAGTCCATTGACATATGGCTTTGAAACTTTGCACACTTGTTCAACATCATGACCCAACCTGTAAACAGGAGAAGGTAACTCTATCAAGCATTTTGACAGAATTATGCCCCTTTTTCGACTTAGAATTTACGTTAAAAGTTTTTGTAATAGTTCAAATATTTTCAAAGTCCATTGACATATGGCTTTGAAACTTTGCACACTTGTTCAACATCATGACCCCAACCTGTAAACAGGAGGAGGTAACTCTATCAAGCATTTTGACAGAATTATGCCCCTTTTTCGACTTAGAATTTACGTTAAAGTTTTTGTAATAGTTCAAATATTTTCAAAGTCCATTGACATATGGCTTTGAAACTTTGCACACTTGTTCACCATCATGACCCCAACCTGTAAACAGGAGGAGGTAACTGTATCAAGCATTTTTTTTACTATCAAGCACTAAGAATAGTCGAGCGTTGCTGTCCTACCGACAGCTCTTGTTCCAAATGCATACAGTGTGAAGGCATTTTAACCGAATTTAAACACTGTCGCACTTGCACATGTGCGGGAAATCTTAGTCTTTGAATTTAAAGAGAATGTTTTTGTTACTGGTATATGAAAAAAAATTTATTAAAAGGAAGAGAAAATATACATGCTCTGTCTCAGGCTTTATCCCAATAATGCCCTTCATTATGCACCAAAACTTGGATAGGGGACCATTTTCACAAATGCTCAGATTATAGACAATTTTCACAAATGCTTGGATATTTTAGGGACAATTTTCACAAAATTTAATGCTTTGATAATGGACAATTTTCACTAAAGCTTGGATAAGGGACGATTTTGACAAATGCTTAGATAAGGGACCATTTTCACAAATGCTTAGATAAGGGATAATTTAAACAATTGCTTGGATAAGGGACCATTTTCACAAAAAATGTGATAAGGGACCATTTTCACAAATGCTTTGATAAGGGACCATTTTCACAAATGCTTTGATAATGGACCATTTTCACAAATGCTTGGATAAGGGATCATTTTCACAAATGCGCATTTTCTGGTTAGGGAAGTATTGAAAAAATAAGCTTTCAGTATAAGGACTTCAAAAACAATAAAATTTATTGGAAATAAATATGGTTACAGATTATGAAAACATAAATGGTTTCTCATGTTTTTTTGCAAATTTTATTGCTATGGCAATTTGTCAATCTTTTAAAGCTCTTTTACATCGGAGATATTGACTGCCTGCCAATTGTGCAATTAAAATTTAAGAGTAAATATGCACATAAATTAAAATTGGAATATTTTTGTGGCGAGCAGGAGGCTGATATTTATATAGTGATTATACAGTGATTGAATAATCCCGGATTATAGATGCATGCCTACAGATGAGCCAAAATATTTTAAGATAATCAGATAATCTGCAACCTTAAGAAAAATGTACAAAGATTTTAAACAAAGTAA